CTATGCACTGAGGGGTTCGCGGCGCTTATCCGTAAGGCAATTTCGGAGAAGCGTTTAGCGGGGGTGAAGGTGGCTCCGCGTGCTCCTCGGATTTCCCATCTTTTCTTTGCGGATGATTCCTATTTATTCCTGCGTGGGTCTCTGCAAGAATGTGAGAATCTGATTGAGGTACTGAATGAGTATGAGGAGCTCAGTGGCCAGCGTGTGAATCTGGAGAAGTCGGCAGTCTGCTTTAGCAAGAACATTGCTCAACCAGATCAGGAGTTTTTGGCCAATATTTTGGGGGTGGGTGCGGTAGGAGTGCACGATAAATATTTGGGATTACCTACGCTTATTGCACGGTCTAAAATGGCAACGTTCCGCTACCTGGAGGAAAAATTGCTTGAACGGCTTCAGGGGTGGAAGCAGAGGACGCTGTCGTGGGCAGCCAAAGAGACTTTGATTAAGTCAATTGCCATGGCATTGCCCTTGCATGTAATGTCCTGTTTCAAATTGCCTCTGTCCCTGTGTCGGTTACTGGATAAGCATGTTGCCAGGTTCTGGTGGGGAGCAGAGGGCGGTAACTCAAAGGTGCGATGGGTGTCCTGGAGGAATATGTGTAGAAGTAAACATGAGGGGGGGATGGGGTTCCGCCGTTTTGAGCATTTTAACCAAGCGCTGTTGGCTAAAATTGGTTGGCGTATCTTTTCTGAGCCTCAGTCCCTGTTAGCCCAAGTTTATAAAGGCAAGTACTTCCCAAATGGGTCGTTTCTGCAGGCCAAAGCCCGATCTCGGCCATCCTGGGGTTGGCAAAGCATTTTGTTTGGGCGCCAGCTGTTGGAAGAAGGCCTCCGGTGGCAGATTGGGAATGGTAGAGCTGCTTCCCTCCTTCAGTCTAATTGGATACCGCGTGTTCCGCTGGAGGACTTGCGCTATAACCCGCAGATTTTGCCAGTAGAGGATGGCCCGAGGGTGGCGGAGGTCATTTGGCAAGGGGAGGGGAGGTGGAATGATACTAAACTGTGTCAGTGGTTTGATCCGGTTACTTGTCGAGCAATTAAGGAAATCCCTCTGCCTCGGCAGAATAGGGAGGATAAATTGATCTGGCATAGTACGGAGGACGGGGTATTTACTGTCAAATCGGCTTACCACCTTGCGGTGTCCCTGGAGAGGAGGAAGGGTAGTTGGCAGTCCCTGGCAAGTTGGATGGATAAGGGGAGTTGGATACGGGTGTGGGATGCGAAGATCCCCCCTAAGTTAAAGGTCTTTCTCTGGCAGATCTTTAGCCGGGCACTCCCAACCACTGAGGCACTGATTGAGAAGAAGATCCCGGTGCACCCGCGTTGCCCGGTGTGTTGGGCTAGTTCGGAATCAATGGAGCATTTATTTCTCTATTGCCCGGTCGCTCGTGCACTGTGGGACTATTCGGGGTTGGAATACCTGGGTGAGGGGTTGCCTCGGCAGACCTTTCCGCTTTTCCTTAAGAAGTTGCTTGCCTTGGTTCGACAGCCCCCGTTATTCATGGCAGTTGTAGCCGTCCTGTGGAGGATCTGGCGGTCCCGGAATTGGGTGGTCTTTGAGGGCAAGCAGTTTGATATCCCCGCTTTGATGCGTCAGTTCAACCAGCAAGTTGAGGAATGGATGAGTATTCCGCCGGTAGGCAGTACGCAGGGCTCGGTTGTACCGGTGGCTGCTCCGCTACCTCCGGTGGGGGTTGGTAGGATGGTGTGTATGTGGGATGGTGCTACGAAGCGAGGGTCTCATTCAGCTGGTGGGATTGTTATTTTGACTCCCTCTCGTGAGATCCTGTTGATCAAAGGGGTCCACATTCCGGTGATCGATAGCCCCATGGTGGTGGAGTTACTAGTGCTTCGTGCTGCGGTTTTCTGGTGTCTAGAGCTTGGTTTTACAAACGTTGTCTTTGAAGGAGATGCTAAGGTGATCATTGATAAGGTTAATCAGAGAGATGATAGAGACACTCGGGCTGGAGCGGTTCTTGCTGAAGTTGTGCATTATTTTAGGGCCCAGTCGGAGTTTTTGGTTCGATTTGTAGGTCGGGGTAGCAATAGGGTAGCCCATTCGGTGGCTAGAAAGGCCCTTTCTTTGTCCCCGGCTATGAGTCCTGTCTTTGATTATCAGACCTGGCTGTTTTCCAGGGTGTAACTTTTCTTGGTCTGATTCAATATATATATCTATCTTTTGTCAAAAAAAAAAAAAAAAGATTCAACATTGTCCCCAGCCCGATCAATCCGGGTGGTAGTACTATGAATTAGATAACAAACGCAGTATGTAGGGTTGGTTGTATTCTTGAGCTGAGGTAACTGATCAGCACATTGTGATATACAGAGTCGAGAAGAAATAAATTAGAAATCATTGTTTGAACAAGGTATATAACTTAATTAGGGTTAATTGCATGGTTGGTCACTGAGATTACAAAAAACGTTCAAGTTTAATCATTTGAAATATTTAAATCCATTGGTGGTACTTCAGTTTATTGAAACCGTTCATGTTTGGTTACTCTCCATCCAACTTCGTTAACTTTAACTGATGTGGCAGTCAACTCTCAAAGTTGACCGTTAACACTTAATGACGTGGCAATTAAGAAATAATAAATAAAATATAATTTAATGTCCAACTCATTTTTACCATAAAATAAAAAATGAAATAAAAAAATATTTGTTTATTTTATCATTTCCTTAAGCTCCTCGCTCTACCCTCCGGTCGATGTGCTCTTGCTCTTCCGCTGGGTCTTCAATCCACGCCAGAGGTTCCACCGAATAGATGCTAGCTCCTTCCCTTTCTCCATACACAAACCACCATCTTCTTGCCGTCAGCTCTTGCCGTCCCAAGAGGACGAGGGGGGCTTTGTTTTGAGATCGGCCCTTGAAGACACCTACGTTACGTTCTTGAACCACCGCCGCCCGCCCTAGCTCCCTCCTACTAGCAGCGCTGCACGTATCGATTGTTTGAAGCTCAAATTGATAGTGAATTTTTCATTTTTCCTGCCAGTTCCTTGCCCATTCTCTTTTTAATTCGTTCTTGAAACCTTTCCGAATTCTATCGCTTAGCAGTTCTGAATTCTCCCGGTTGGTTTGATGATTGTATCCTCTAATCCCCGAATTGGTTTAGGTTTTCCTTTGGTAATCCCTGCACACATGTTCTTGTTCTTGCTGCTTGTTAGGTTTAACTGAGGTTGTGGGTAAGGGTTCAATTTTCCAATTTCGTGGTTGATTTCAATATCAGATAATTAGGGCCCACCCTTTCATTTGGTCAGTTTCCTATGTCAACCGGAAGTTTGGTGAGAACGAAGAACATCATATACATTTAGGCAGTAGGGTCAAATAGATTATAATATATTTTATTTATTTATTTATTTATTTATTTTATGATAAAAATGAGTTGGACATTAAAATAGATTAAAATTTATTATTTATTAATTGTCACGTCACTAAATTAAAGATCAATTTAGAGAGTTGACTGACATATCAGTCAAAGTTAACGGAATTGGACGGAGAGTTACCAAACGTGAACGGTTTCAGTAAACTAAAGTACCACCAATAAATTTAAATATTTCGAGTAACCAAACTTGAAATTTATTTTTTTAATCTGTGACCAACCATGCAATTAGCCCAACTTAATTATAGAAAGAATGATAAAATCTGAAGTCCGGCAAAACCCGGATCCTTTTTCCAATGCAATGGTCAATCTCAGACTCTTTGATCCCCATTGCCTAGCTAGCCATCAAGTTCCGCCGTTTTTGTTTTTATTTGTTTGTACAAATTGTACTAGCCTACTAGGGGAATGGATCAGGTAAGTAACCTTATGGTGAGTAACCATGAGTAACTCGTCCACTTCAGCATGACATCAGCATCCTCTCTCTCATGGAAAGCCTTTAATTTTTCCCTCTTTAATATTTGACGGACGATTTCTCGCTCATTTTAAGTCGAAATTTAATTTTTTTTGCACAGTTAGATCAGATTAATTGTGCTCTTCAAAATGATATCCACTTTAATATATTTTTCGAACAAAAAAAATTGAGCCATTTTTTACCAGCCTATACCATATGGTATTGACTGGTATTGAAATAAAAGCATACCTATGTTTTGAAAAACGTACCATGGTGGTATGAACAAACCAATACTGTAGGATGGTTGAATACATGATAGTAGAAGTATATTAATTGTAATTTACGACTTTTAACATTGTATACCACACAATACCACCCCGTACCAAGGTGGTATTGTATGATATTATGTGATATTTTTTGGTCCTGTAATTTGTTCACCCAGAAATTTGTAGATCCAATAGATCATGATGAACTCGTCCCTTCTGTGCAAACGTTTTCAAAAACGAATTAAAAACGAAGAAGATACCATACAATACCACCCCGTACCAGGGTGGTATTGTATGGTATTGTGTGGTATTTTTTTGTCCTGTAATTTGTTCACCCAGAAATTTGTACATCCAGTAGATCATGATGAACTCATCCCTGCTGTGCAAACGTTTTCAAAAACGAATTAAAAACGAAGAAGATACCATATGGTATGCAGTTGGTACCGAGAGGCCAGAATTTTTTTCCCTAAAAAAATATTGAAAATTGATCTCATTTTGTAGAGCACGGTGAACTCGTTCCATCTGTGCAAAAAAAATTAAAATCCAAGTTAAAACGAAAAAGATATGAGTCAATTAAGAAAGCTAGTGAAAATAAAAATAGCCTTTAATTCTCCATTCTTAGATCTGGATTTTCTAAATGAAGGGTACAGATTTGGTTATTGATGGGTGCATAACCCATGGTTATGCACCCTATCTTGAGCCGCCTACTAGGTAGGGGTCAAACTAGCTGATTACATTCCAAATAACGCTGTCGTCGTCGTCGTCCCAGAGAATGCATTCTTGGCTCTGTAGTCTGTACGTACTACTTATAAGTGAAGAGACCATATTTATATTCTCTCTCTCGCACACACACACGCAACTTAAAAAAAAAAAAAAAAATCTCTATTATATTTCTGAACTGTGAGTTAATGATGAGAAACTGGTCATTATTATCGGAGGAGGGTGGGGGAGGCGTGCAGTGGCTGAGGCTGGTGTGGGCGATATGGCTGCAGGCAGTGATCGGGACAAACTCCAACTTCCCGGCCTACTCCTCCGAGCTGAAGCACTACCTCTCCCTCTCCCAGCTCCACCTCAACTCCCTCGCCTTCGCCTCCGACGCCGGCAAGCTCTTCGGCTGGGTTGCCGCCCTCGTCGCCCGCCGCGCCCCACTCTGCCTCGTCCTCCTCCTCGGCTCCTCTCTGGGCTTCCTCAGCTACGGCCTCCAGTTCCTATCCATCACCGACCACGACGACGTCGTTTCTTCGTCTTCCTCCTTTCATCACTTGTTTCGCTCCTCTAATTACCCGCTCTTCCTCCTTCTCAACACCCTCGCCGGCAACAGCATTTGCTGGATCAACACCTTCTGTTACAACCTCGTCATCCGCAACTTCCCCTTCCATCAGCAGGTTTTTTTTTTTTTTTTTCATATAATAATTGATGGAAACTTGCACTTTGATTATTTGGGATTATTGTCGGTTTATTGCTATTTCAATTTATTGAGCCTATTTTGAAGAGATTGTGGGAAATTAATTATTTGGGGTATCATTAGGAAATTCTGCATTTATATAAAATACTCTTGTATGTGGGATTTACCATTAAACAAGATTAAGCCGAAACCTATTACCTAATCTCTCTCTCTCTGCCGAAATTCCCCCTTCCTTCTCTCTTGTTTTTTCTCGATCATCCTAAACTCCTTGTTCCCTTCCATTTCCAATAACAACCGGATCAATCCCTAGTTGATACCTTGTAATCCCAATCCCGATATAGAATCCAATTCCCCGGGTTGTATCAATAATTAAGAACACCGATCATATATATATATCTTGACGACGTACGTACGTACGCATGCAGGTCGCTATCGGGATCACCAACAGCTATCAGGCATTGACATCCAAAATCTACGCGGTGATGGTGGGGGAGCTGTTGAGCACAGTGAATGGCAGTCTAAAATCCTACCTCCTCCTCCAGTCTCTCCTCCCACTCCTCGTCGCCACCGTGGGGTCGCTCCTCATGCTACAAGGCGGCGGTCTCAATCCCACCAAACAGCTCGCAAGGCCCGTCCAAAGTAAACGGTACCGTCTAAGGTTTGTGGGGTTGTTTGTGGTCACCACGGCAACTGGAGTTTATGCAGTGTTCAGCAGCTTGTGCCCTAAGCTGTGGAGGATATTTTCCTTTTCCTACAGCGGAGTGGTATTCACTTCACTTCCGGGCTGCTCCTGATGCCCTTGTCCATCCCCGTCGGGTTAGTGATAGGAAAAGCATTCTTGTACCACCATCTAACGCCCCCTGTCGACGCAGAGGTGGCGGCAGAGGAGGACCAAGGAAGAGTGGAGGCTGGGTTGGTGGTGAAGGAGGAGATAGGGGTGAGGTTGATGGTTCAAAGGCCCGAGTTTTAATTTGGCTGCATGTGTCTGTCTATTTCTTTGGCCCCACCATTGGGATGGTTTATCTCAGCAACTTGGGTCAAATCACTGAATCTCGTACCTGCTACGAGACCTCTTCTCTGGTGTCTTTATCTTCTTCCTTCACTTTCTTTGGTCGTCTCCTCCCTGCATTCCTCGATTATTTTTTCTCCAGGTACGCTACGCTACCTAGCTAGCTACATTTTCTTTTCTCTGCTCAAATTTAAATAATAAAATGTGCTTCATCTCATCGGCTTCTCTATCCTCAAATTTTTATGTACAGGAGGATCGGAGCAACTACTATTTGGCATCAAGACCAGCATTGCTGGTGCTGCTAATGGGGCCAATGTCAGCATCATACTTCTTGCTCCTCAACAAATCCCACACACTTCTCTATATAAGCACCGCCACAATTGGCATCTGCAGTGGGGCCATCATTTCAATTGCAGTCTCCATAAGCTCGGAGCTCTTCGGCCCAAAACATTTCGGAGTGAATCACAACCTTGTCATAGCCAACATCCCTCTAGGCTCCTTGATTTTTGGTTACTTGGCGGCCACAGTGTACGAGAGCCAGAAGCCCATGGGACACTCCAAATGCATGGGAATGGAATGCTACGGACGCACTTTCCTGGTTTGGGGGCACCTCTCTGCCTTCGCCCTTTTCCTTTCCTTTCTGCTCTATCTTCGTACCAGAGACTTCTACTCCAAGCGATCACAAGCACTTCCAAATGCTTCAACCTAACATCTACATCACGTACGGAAGCAAGCAAGTTTCAGTCTTTATTATCATTAGTTTTTTGGCCGCGCTCCGCTGCGGTAGAAACTAATAATTTAGTTTAAATCAAATAATTTAAAAAATTATTAAGATAAGATAAAGAGGTAAGTTTTACGTGATGTTTTAATCATTACGAAGAACATACGTCATTCGTTTGGTTAAGTGATACATTGTAAATAACTATTTTTACATAAAGTTTACATAGTGTTTAATTATTATAGAAAACTTACATATTATTTTTTTAATTGATACATAAATGATTATTTGTTCATAAACTTTACGAAATGTTTTAATGATTAAGTAAAACTCATGTAATAGTTACAGAACGTTATTACACATATTTTTCATAATATTGGGTCTAATGGTATAATCAAGTTATAGTAAGTAACATCGACGAATTTTCAATTTAAGGTACTTTTAATGAATTTTGTTACATAAAATTTTCATAATATGTGGTCTAATAATAATTGCTTATGAATTTTAGACTTATCGTTGAAGTGGTTGTAGAATAAAAATCACATGAATATATTGCAAAAATCAGAGCGCAATACTCAGACCCAATACAAGTCCAAGCTGCAACCTCGAATCCTTTCTAATGCACCAAGAAACGAGATCAATACCCAACTGAATAGTAGAACGATCTGTACTCTCAAGAACACCATACTCAAACATCATATTAAGCTAAAAAACTCATCAACATGTGAACCCCTTATTGTGTTGAAGGATAAGCAAGGTATTTTCTCTCATTGGGCAAGTAGGAAGATCTTAACTCAATAACGAAACCCTTGTTTACAAGCCATAATGACATTTTAATATATAATAATAATATATGAAAGCCTAACATTGCAGTTACTATTCATTAGTGGCTTCCAAACTCTTCCAAGTGCAAGTGGGGAAGTTTCAAGTCCCTCTTTTACCCACACTCTCATTCTATAACCTTAACCTATGTGTTCATCTATTGTCCGCCAGATCTACATCAATTGTCCATTAGGTTTCCCATAGTAGTTATTGTCTACTTAAGTTTTCATATCCTAAATTAATTAGGGTTTTATTTATGATATTTTGATACAAAACTCGGCAACACATAGCAGATTTAGTATTAATTTTTCGGTAGTAGATGTATGAATTGAATGATTTGTGTATGGTTGTGTTTGAATGCAAGTATTGACATAATTTCATGAATGTTGTGTTGTGTTTTCCATTTCCAAATACTTTGCCAATTTTACCTAGGTAGAGGGAAACCCCTTCTTATGAAGAGACTTTCAAAAGCTGGGTTTCCTTGGCCTAATTGAGTCACCTACCGAGGGCAAATTAGGGCACAACTCTTAATACTTTTAAGCACCTTGTGTTGGTAGCGATTTAGCCGTTCGAACTTTGATTCGAGGGTGAAGTCTTGGCAACCCTTCAACGATTGGCTAGGAGAGTTACGTAGGTAGCTTGACTTGTATCCATTGGTCGATTTGATAATAGAGTCACCTAGGTAATTTGACTTGTAGCCCCTTATCCAATTGATCAAGAGAGTGAACTCGATTCACTTGTTGCACTTCCCTATGGTTAGCAACCACCTTTACAATGCACTTTCATTCGGTTTACTTACCTTTACATTAGCTAGGGGGAACAACACCCGGGTGAAGCCTTCTCAACTAGTGTTCACACCATTTACTTTTCCAATCGCTTTATCTTTGAATCGTAGTTTCAACCAAAACTCAATTGTTAAATAATGTTTCAAATAATCAAAGTATAGGTACATGGCCGGACCGGGTTTGTCTTTTAAAACATACTTGCCCTATATTGCACCCAATTAAGGTTTATACTTGGGCCTTGATAGGGATTTTTGTTGCGGTATTTGGGACGAGTCACTATCATCTTACTATGCATTCACAAACTCTTGGGTGAGGACCATATTTACTACCTTAGGGCAAACATTCAAGGTGTGCATTGCACCAAACTTTTGCAAACAAGCATCTCTCCCTTATGACCAAGAGCTGATGGATCATTTCCTTCCCTTTCAAGGTCACATGTGGGGAAGCTGATGGGTGGATTCTTCTTAGCCTGAGCACCACTTTCCAGTCTGCACTCCACATTGGATTGCCACGAGAGCTTTGTACCTTGTCATAGAATTCCCATGAGGAGGAAAGATGCTGGGGGATGGTAAGTAGTGAAAGGTGGTCATGACGTAGTACAACTATCTGATCCCCAAACATATCCTCAAAGGGCACTCCGAACCTTGAGGTTCGGTTGCCTCTCACGCGAGAACCTGATTTTCAAAAGATTTTTGTTTTAAAATAAGTAAAAATTTGTAAAAATTTCGAGTTCAACGATAATAGAGAATCTCACACACATGTTCTTCCTAAAATAGCAAATATTATCAACTCATTAAAGAGGAAGAAGACAGTAAAATTCCTCATACACAGGTACTCTAATCATGCAACTACTCCTTAGAGAGCATTAAGAGTTATATATAGGTACGATAAGTAGATAATATAAGTACGATTACTACTAGTACTAGATTATTTAAAGTACGAAAAATGAAAAAAAAAATTAAAGCGAACATTAAACATTGTTTTAAGTAATAGAAAGAAGAGCAAAGAAAAAGAAAAGATAGAACTTAGGCCCTGGATGGATAGTACTCAATCCTTCTCAGAGGGTCCTTCTTCTTCTACTTGGAATGGTGCAAGGGGAGGCGAGCGAGCAAGTTGAGGCGATACATCATCAATCGAGATATACATCTTTTTCATTATAGCATGGATGCACGCCTAGATGTGGAGTCGCACTTACTTCTCCCTCCTTAGATTGTGAAGGATCACCGCTATCATCGATACGACTCGGTAATCCGTTGCATTATTGAATGGTGGTGGAACCAGATGAAAAGTGGATGGAGGCGGCTCTCCTCCCTCATACATGCTTCCCGCTTGTTCTTCCTTGTTGACTAGTCCTATTTGTCCTCTTACCATCGTAGCTTCCTTAAGGCGGAACATGGTATCCTCCACCTCCAACGTGTTAGTAGTTGGAAATGGAAGTCCCCGTACTCCCCAAATGCCATCGTCATTCATGTGTAGCACTTTGATTCTCGACTTTAGGACGTCAAAGGATATAGGAGTAGTCCTACTATCCAACCGAAATTGCAAGGCCCTGAAGTCGACTTGGAAATACTTGGCAAGACGTGTGACAAAAACTCCGCCATGAAGGGCAGTGAATCAATGGTCTGTTTCATAACATTTTAAGATGGAGAAGATGGCCAAATCGTGGTGAAGAGATTGAGGTAGGTGCATGCTTTGGAAGAAGGTGACATCTCAGGCAGTCAAAATGCCTTTGCTTCGGTTCTTTCCATCCACGGACCTAGCAATCACCTGGTGGATGAGCCTCCACTCCAGTTTCACCTCACTAGCCTTTGAAGAGATTGAGGTAGGTGCATGCTTTGGAAGAAGGTGACATCTCAGGCAGTCAAAATGCCTTTGCTTCGGTTCTTTCCATCCACGGACCTAGCAATCACCTGGTGGATGAGCCTCCACTCCAGTTTCACCTTACTAGCCTTTGATAGCTTTGCATCCCACGATCAACTGTTGGATTCCTTGACTTCAGATTCATTGAAGTACTTGAAACATGGGAAGTCGGATTCCCTTGTCAAGGTGGCAAAAGCTTCCGGTGGGTCAATGAAATCCCCCAGGTAAATATCAATGGCTCTTGTAAATTCCTGGATTGACAGTCGGCGATGTTCTCCTCCTAGTCGGTAAATGTTTTCTTGAGTGTATAATAATTTAAGCCACACCAAACTTCTGAATCTTGAATCGGATTGCATTCTCGATCCCAAGCTGTGCGAAGAGTATCCAATTGAGACATGCACTCTCTGTTAGAGGGAGTCCTTGAAGCCACAGAAGTTGGGTCTTAAATTTCTCGGGGACATTGTACAAATAATAGTGAGTGATGTGCTCTATGCTTCCTCCAACATTGACTTGATTATCTTGATAGGTTTCCCTTGGTAGATAATGGGGAGAGAGTGATGGTGGATGTGGTTCTTCATACTTCCTATGACCCAGATTTAGTTTTCTTCTTTCAATGGCCTTGGCAAGATGAGAAGTTCGAGAGTGCTCCATATTAGAAGAACTCTCTTCACGGGCCATTCCCTTTGTCTTGTAAATTTTTTTTGATGGGGGACCTATAGAGCTTTATTAATCAGAAGAAGCGTTATAGAATCCAGCTGCAGCTGATCAATAATAAAAACAGGGGGTCTACCAATCCATACTTCTCTTTCGTTCCATCTCGTCTTCGAGTGAGCCATCATATGAGCCGCTACATTTCCTGAGCGAGGGCAATGCTGCCAGCTTCCATTTCCAGTCCTTCCCATTATGCGCCTGATGTTGCGGCAAACTGTCCCTATCTCCGTCTGATTAAGTCCCGGTTCATGCAACTTATGGATCATATTCAGGCAATTGGATTCTAATATGGGGTTTGTAACCTGTAACTGGAGGGCGAGTTGAACTCCCATCTCTGCAGCCAGGGCCCCGGCCATCTCAGCATCGGACCATCCGTCACCCTCTTTGCTGCAGCAAATAAGAATTTACCGTCATCTCCTCGTGCAACTACTCCCAACCCAGCCCCTCCTCCTTCCAACAACCCTGCATCGGTATTAATCTTAACCCTTCCATTTGCTGGTTGCTTCCAACTCGTTGGGACCTGCCTCGAGTCAATCTCCTCCTCTCGACGCTGGTGCTGCTGGTAGCCCGCCAGGAAGTATTTTGCGCGAATGACAATCTCATGTTCCTCCAGCTTTTCCCATTAAACATCTGTGCATTTCGTTCCTTCCAGAGGAACCAAAGAAGCACGGCCCAAACCTCTAGGGTAGATTCCTCTTCGTT